TACACTATCTTTACGTTTGTAAGATTCTGTTCTTTGAAAAGATTTCAGAGTGAACAAGTGAATACTATTATAAGCTCGAGGTTTTCTAATGTCTTCAAAACCGAGACTGACGAGCTTTCCGCTCGGAGACAAATCTACAGTTTCCATACCGAGCGGAAAGAAACTGTAGAGTCATTATTTACCTCAGAGTAAATATAGTAGTATTTGTTAATCACCAGACTCGGTTACACTCGGACAAACTGTGTAGTCATAATTTAGTTCAAAGTAAATATAGTAGTAGTATAAGTAGTAACATAAAGCTACACTTTCATGCAAGTGGGGGAAAAAGAAAATGATCAATTTTATTCGAGTCGGGGAACGTATAAACACTGTCAAGGAAGTGTGACCGATCATTTCAAACGTGAAATCCTCAAGTATGGACCCTTCAATCCTCAAATTGCAATCGATCCTAGCAATGAACACTTTGGACACGGTTTATGAGGGCCTCTCATATAAGATCCCAGGAATGCGAGCAGAATTGCTGAACAGGTTTGCCCGACTCCTTTCTCCAGACACGTTGTTACTCCATCTCAAACTCAGCTCCATAGACACTTCCGATGCACGGAATAATGCACCTCCTAAAGCAGGGGTATAAGAAAATAGACGAATGGGAGTGGAGGCCAGACTCGAGAGTGCAATTCGTAAAGCATTATACATAAGAGAGAGGAGAGCAGCTCTTGAAAAAAGACCTAATCCTTCCACTCTCCAGAAGTTTGGGATGCTCTATGACCATCGAAAACTTCCAAGACTTGCTTCTCAAGAATAAGGAATCCTGGTCTCTCGTGACGTGCTCTATTAAAGACATTCTGACGGTCGATTATTTCAAACGTGATCTCGTCAAGTATGGACCCTCAAATTGCAATCGATCCGGGCGATAGGCAACGTGGACACGATTTATGAGGCTCTCTCATTTAGGATTCCAGGAACGTGAGCAGAGTTGCTGAACAGGTTTACACGGTTCCTCTCTCCAGACAAGTTTTTACGTCCATCTCAAACTCAGCTCCATAGACATAGTCAGGGAGAAATACGGTTTGACCCGGAACAAATTGCATAAAATTTTTTTCCTGTGTTATCGTCATCAGTAGGTCCTCCTGAACAACATACAAAAAGTTTACCACGGTCCGACCCCTGAACACCCCCCAAAATGACGAAAATTCAAAATGGCGGCCATAATAAGGGCCTATGGGATTTCGATATTTTAAAATGTTCCTGTACTGTCATGTGAGGTATCGTTTCCTATGTAATTTTGGTCGCAGATTTCATTTCTGAAGTCCGAAAAGCTCCTAGGTCAAAGGGGGTGACCCAAATCCAAGATGGCGGCCGAATTTGAAAGGCAATAGGGTCATTTTTCAACTTTTACGTGATTGGGCAAGTGAGGTGTCGTTCCCTATGTAATTTTGGTCGTACATTTCATTAATGATGTCAAAATAGCTCCCTGGCCAAAGGGGGTGATCTAACTCCAAGATGGCGGCTAAATTTGAAAGGCAGGAGGGTGAATTTTTTTAGATTTTTACGTTTAAAATGCGAGTCAGGTGTACCAATTGTCATGAAATTTTGGTTGTAAATTTCATGTCTCAAGTCAAAACAGCCCCCCCCCCGCTAATCGGGAGTGCCCCAAATCCAAGATGATGGCTATGTTTGAAAAGCGGATGGGTGCATTTTTGAAATAAAATTCACCGAACAAGGCAAGGAAGGTGACTATTCTGTGTATTTTTGGTCAATGAACCTTAATTGGGTGTTTAAATTTTATTTAATGGAAGAAAGAGATAAATAGTATTTCCGAAAGAAATGTCACCTCAAAAACGCGCGCTCGCTGTATAAAATTACAAAAGGCAAAACATACTCGTTTCCAATTCTATTACGTCTTTAGCATTCCTTGACAATCTTTGCAAGAGGATTTATACGGTTTTTATACGCCAATTTCCTATTACTGGACATAGCATGGACTTAATTAAAAGTGACTCATCCTTATTCAGGGCACTCTTCTAATCTATGTAGTAAGGTGGTACATGCGAAAGAATGCAGATCTTGATATCATTGAATAGGGTGTTGCAGCTTGCAAGAGCACCAATGTCATTGTGATAGGAGAGGATCCGAACCTATTTGTTTTTTTGTTAAATCGATCAGAAGGCGTCAATTTTTCTTTGTTCTTTAGAAGTGATATTAAATGCTAAATCCAAAACTAGGGCTCACAACATCCCTTGTATCCGTCACAGATTTAGTCAACGTTTATGTAAGTAGCTCCTGTTCTTGAATGAGTTTACTGGTTGCGACTCGACCTCTCACATGCACGGAATCAGAAAAGCAACTGGAAAGCTGAAAAAGATGTAACAATACCTATGGTGCCAAAAAAATGAGACTTTCAAAGACGTATGTCATCAGGTTTTCAAGGAAGAATTTGCAGCTTCCAAAATCTTGGTCACAAGTGGAGAAATTATTTCCGACATTATCAGCCATGAGGCACCATCAATTTAAGAACTACTTTCGAAACTAATTGATGACGAATAAGCCGATCAAGATGCTTTTCAATGGGGATGAATGAATGAAAACAACAAGCTTCATTCCATTTTCTACTGACTTGCCTCCAGCTCCGGAATCGCTGCTCAATTAAATCTTCGGATGTAATTTTAAGAAAGGGTTTGACACCATGCGGTGAACTTGTAAGATCATGCCCGGACTTCCGCAGGAGCAGAAGTTGTGAAGACTCGGACTCCAACTGTAAAAACTCAGAGAAAACCTGAGGTGGACAGCCCTGACAAGCCTGACACAGAATATGAATCAGCACGCTCTCTCAGATTTTCTCCTATTTTGACTAAAGTAGATCCGTCACGTTCAATGTCCTCATCTTGATTGAGAATTGATGAACTTAAAATTGAGCAAAAATAACTCACTAGGTGCTCTTATTAAATTCTTTTCATACCATGAGCAGGCACAATGGTCACTATCTTGCATGACATGTCTCATTTTTTAGTAAAACTCATATTTTACATTTAATTTAGACTTGTTGACCAAAAATACACGGAATTGCCTTGTTCGGTGAATTTTTTTTCAAAAATGCACCCATACGCCTTTCAAACATAGCCATCATCTTGGATTTGGGGCACTCCCGATTAGCGGGGGGGGGGGGGAGCTGTTTTGACTTGAGACATGAAATTTACAACCAAAATTTCATGACAATTGGTACACCTGACTAGCATTTTAAACGTAAAAATCTAAAAAAATTCACCCTCCTGCCTTTCAAATTTAGCCGCCATCTTGGAGTTAGATCACCCCCTTTGGCCGGGGAGCTATTTTGACATCATTAATGAAATGTACGACCAAAATTACATAGGGAACGACACCTCACTTGCCCAATCACGTAAAAGTTAAAAAATGACCCTATTGCCTTTCAAATTCGGCCGCCATCTTGGATTTGGGTCACCCCCTTTGACCTAGGAGCTTTTCGGACTTCAGAAATGAAATTTGCGACCAAAATGACATAGGAAACGATACCTCACATGACAGTACAGGAACATTTTAAAATATCGAAATCCCATAGGCCCTTATTATGGCCGCCATTTTGAATTTTCGTCATTTTGGGGGGTGTTCAGGGGTCGGACCGTGGTAAACTTTTTGTATGTTGTTCAGGAGGACCTACTGATGACGTTTACACAGGAAAAAATTTATATACAATTTGTTCCAGGTTAAGCCCTTTTTTTCGGTATTTCTCACTAACACTTCCGATGCGGCTGGGTGCTATGGGTTACATGAGATAAGCGAATGATTCGACCAAGTCCTTTGCGAATTGCACTGTCGAATCTGCACATCTTCCACTCCCGTTCTTCTATTTTCTGATACCCCTGCCTCAGGAAGTACGTTATTTCTTGTTCGTCCGCGATACGTTCATGATATGCTTCTCAAGAATAAGGAATCCTGGTTTCTCGTGACATGCTTTATTAAAGACATTCTGACAAGCAAACGTGAATTTTCGAACAACCTTGAGCAAAAATCGCCAAAATCATTCAGAACGCTGTCTCTGTCCCCGATGCATATCCAACGGACGATATTGGGAGGTATTAGAATGGATTATCTTAACTTGTGTAGCTTTCTTTTCTTTTTATGATTTTTTCTATTCATCGTACCTAATTGAAGAATAAATTTTCGATCCATCAAACTGAACATTGCATCATCCAAACCCAGTTGCTCATCCCAAAACACAAGGTTCCGATACACATCTCCAACCGCATACCGCCACGCCACTAAAAATTGAAATTCCCGAATCAGACCGCTCTCTCGAGTCTGCAATACCAGACCCATCCCGGAGGAGATGGTCTTTTGATGCCGAAAATTTAACAAGTCCGAAAATCCGAATTTTTTGTACAATCAGACAACAATGTAAGGGAAAATGATTTGCGTCACAAACGTGTTTTTAACATCAGACATACAACCTGTCAATAGTAAAAGTTAGGAGTGACCTACCAATCCCATTTATTCAAGCAACCATAAAAACTCGTATATACACATAAGATACGCATGCAACTTAGGTAAAAGTCGAATTTTCTCGAAAACGAAAAGTCGTATCAAAATTCAGCCTGTACAGTTTTCCGATCTTCGATATTGTAAAAGAATCGCATCGGTCCGGGGCGGATCGGAAAAGGGGAATTTTCCGAAAATATTTTCCAGCGCGGGAATTTCCCGAATCAGGCCTTTAAATGTTGCCAAATTTCACCGATAATTAAATCATTCATTTATGAGCACCGTCCGGCAACGCTGTTGCATAAGCTGCAAGTTGCAGGGGTAACATACACCATTGCTTAACCCGCATATTGAGGGGCTACATTCAATACCTCGTATAGGGGTAACTACCCATCAAGGATATTTACAGTTTTTTTTACTGCCCTGAAGTCGCCATTTCTCTACTACTCATACTTTAAAAAATTGTCCAAAATTTTGAGTTTTATCTGTTTTCCTGTGATTTTCAGATAAAAATACTTACAAAGAACCTACACCTCCGAGCGGTTGAAGTTGAAGAACTACTTGGGGTGAAAGAAACCCTAACATCTACTTTAGCTGAATGTCACAATGAAATCATGTGTTTAAGGAACAACTGTCAGGTAAGTTCATTCCAAGTTAGTCTTGAATTGTTTTAGTTGCCTCATATCCGACCTTCTTTACATTAAAAATGTATTATGTAGCTGTTTTTATTTTTTGTTTTGTATTTCTATGAATTTCTAGAAGAATAGCAACTTGAGTGCTTCAAGGTAACTTTTATTTGTAGAGAACTACTTTGTCAGGTTGAGACGAAAACTGGCTATATGGCATTCAGCTGAAAAGAGGAAAATAGTCCAAAGAATATATCCCCAAAAAAGCATCGAGAACGCCTCAATAACTTTTGCCTCTGAAGGGAACAAAACGTCACATGTTCATCTGGCTTGAACTCCTTATATGTCCTTGTGGCACTTGTAAAGTAAAAATAGCTTTCTATCAAAACAAGATCATTTGAGTCGCATTTAATTTGTCATTGCTTTGAGTTGCCTCAATACCATCAGACATTTTTTGTGCTAAGATGTTCGTAACACAATTTTTCAACAAGTTTACTGACAAGCCACTCATAGTGAATGAGCGCATTTAACATTGCATTTTCATTGCGTTACTATGCTATAGAGGAGTTGTCTGCTGGTTCTGCACATATTTATAGGGTAGTTGTGTGAAAATTGATTAATTAATTTCTTAAAGTTTGAGGTCTACTAATTGTTGAGGTATTTTTTAAAAAAAATTCCTGTCATCGGAACTTTGAGAAAAAGCTCCTTTAAGTCAAAAGCTATTTCAAACGGGTCTTTTCCCCAATTCGGATCTCGGACTTCGTGACATCACATGGTGTAAACCAGGTTTGCCCTTTGTCAAATACGTGTAATTACGGTCTTTTTAAAAATTTGCGGAAAATCGATTTTTTGTATTGACTTGATTTCATTGCATCAATGAAAATTTCAGGATTTGATTGATGACTCTGAAACAATTTTGAAAGCTTTTCATCATAGTTTCTTACTTAGTGAAAAAGAGAGTTGAGAATAGAGCTCTTTGCGTATCCTCTGCCGCCGCCGGGAGCCGTGCGGTCCGTCGGATTGGGGTGCGCCTGCACTGCTTCGGCAGTGTTGGTGCGTCGCACGGTGAATCGAGTCATAGGGCAGGCTGGACATGGCACATCACGCGACTTGGTTTGCTCATTTATGTAGTGTTTTCGCTCATAGAGCAAAGCAGGATTCATGATTCTTATGTATTTTTCGTAGCAGAGTTCATTTTTGATGACTGTTTAATTGATGAATGGGGTTTAGATACGTATTTTGGCACGATTCCAGATAAATAGAGAGATACTGTTATACAACAGATAAGTTTAAACCTTCTTCACTCATTTCAATCGGAGTTTTAAGTGTTCAAGGGACTTTTCTCTCCGATATAATGTTTGAATATCGTATATAAAACATTTATTACTCATCTATTTTACCCTTCCCCCTCCTCTCCCCCAAAAAATGAATTAAAAGAAATCCGAAAATTTTGAGAGGAAAACAGAGGACCTCCTTTCCCCTTCATTCCTGAAAGGGAAGAGGTTCCTCTTTAACTTTCTTACAAAAGAAAATGATAAGGGGGAAAATATGAGAGAAAAATACAAATCAAATACACATCAATCAACACAAATCATACAGTATTCGAGCCTTCCTAATTAAAGGCCCCGCGAGTCACCACTATACACTGCCTTTATTTATACTTAGGTATCTAATGGAGCTTCTCCGGCTTAATGATTGCTGCTAAAGCTTAAATTACCTCAATTTCCTCTATTAACTTCTAATTTTCCGAAAAAATTAAACATAAAAATAAAAAAAATCCGATATCCAAAAAACGCGAATTTTTGGGAAAAAGTTAGAAGATAGAAAAGAATTTAGGCCAATTTTGACTTCAGCAGCAGGTCGTAGATGAAAGATGCTCCATTAGACACCAACTTGATATAATTTTCTCGTCTTTTCAGACGTAAAGCAAACAGATTAGTATCATATGCGTCGATTAGGACATTTGAGAGGAAAACCCCTGTTATCTGAAACAACGGGGACATTTTTTTAACCATGTGCGGAATGTTTTCCCATGTATTTTTGTCTCCTGGATTCGAAAATGACCTTGGTTTCTCTTCACCATACACCAGTTTTGCGGAAAATCACATTTCCCGAAAAGTCCATTTTAAGTGGAAAATCTCAATTTTCCGGAAAATCGGTGGGTGTTGGAGAAAAACCAAGGTCATTTTCGGACTCAGCACTAAAAATTACATATAGATCACCTATCAAATGTCCGGTGCTCATTCACCGCAGACCTATGGAATTCGAATTCCCTCCAGCCACCATTTTATGAATTTCACTTTTTCAAAGTCATTTGAGCTTTATTCCCAAAATGGCAGTTTGGGGCAGCCAATTTTTCTTGATACTGGATCTCCAGGGATCAGTTAACACTGCTCTATAAAGGTTTCCCGTAAATACGCGTAAAAAGGACGATATTTTAAAATGTTATCAGTGAAATATTCTCTACTTAAAGAGGAGAATAAGCTTCCATTATCAGAAATTGTCATAAATGTATTGGGAGGAAATGCCAACCGGCAAACGATTTGTTCCGAGTGAGGCAATATTTCTTGAGTGCCGCCTGAGCCACTTTGGGAGGCTGTGTGCGCTAATTTAGGGTTGAAAAATTGAAAACCAATACCTGTATCATAAAGTATAACTCTTTGGGAAGACATTTACGTAAATGAAATGACTATTTGTGAGAAACGCCCATGTCTGACTTTTTGCAGGGTTCGATCCACCGTGCGTCGTAGTCAATCAGACCTCGAGTTGGGCTCACTTGACGCCGGTGGCGCTATTGACCAAAAATCACAACAACACCATAACCTAGACTTGTTCTTATCACTTTTCTAATCTCAACTAGTGCTGTGTTTGAGATTATGATCAAGATACGATTCTGGACACCTTTCAGCATGATTTTTGACAGTATTTTCCGAGGCAAAAAGATAGTTTGGACACTTAAAACATCACAACAGATCACGCTTCGGCTCAGTAAACACACGGTCGAAATAAGGGTGATGGCGGTGGGCGGGGCCTTGTATACTAACTGACGTCACAGTTAATGGAAATCGTTTATTTCTCACCACGATTTTGCGACTTTTTATCGAGCTTTTTCGGAGCTTTCGACTAAATTTCGGAATTTGCAAATACGAAAAACGGTTTTTTACGCGATAAGTTCTGCAAGTAACAGTCATCAAATCTAAAATCTCAGCTGCATGCAACTACCCCATTGTCAAACTTAAGAGAAGTTTTATTTTTTAATTTTTTATTTGTGCATCAATTACAAATTGTACAAAAATACTTTTACATGCAAGTTGCATCTTTGAAAAGCGTCAGTTTAACTTAAAGATAATACTTCATATTTTTCTATATTAGCTTAATGATGTACTGTTTCTATATATTGAGGAGGAAAAATAAGACGACCATATTTCGAAATAAAAATGTCTTTTTGGTTTAACTGAAAACTGCGAAGACCATACCTAGTCAAAGTCCCAAGTATCCCTGATCGCGTCCGGAGGGTACATGGAGACATTTATTTTAAGCAAAATAAAATTTTGAGGACCTCTGGATTCCAAACTCATGGAGCTTGTGACGCTTTAATCTTCGGATGAAGATTTTTCCCAGCAATTTTAGGTGTAAGGATACGTAGCCTGGATTTGCGGCCTACCAGCCACTGCATATCATGAAATTTTAGTCTCAGTTGAGCAAATTTTTTTTAAATTTGCATACCCTATTGAAGCCTGGAATCGATGTGGAGGCCGAAATCAAGACAAATCGACACAGGTCAGTCATTCTTAAAGACGTGTTTTGGAACTCTACTGCGCAGTGACATAGAATTGGCTGTCTGGGATGTATTTCTTATGGGAGCAGCTGATGTGATGTCCCATTGGGTGCTGCGGCCGAATATTGGCCAGACGAGGAAGTGAATTTTGAAAAGATACGCAATGACTGACCTGTGTAGATTGGTCTTGGCCGAGATTACGTGCGACTGTGTCACGAGGGACTGAGTGCCTCCAGGGTGCAAAGGGATGTGAGTAAATGGTCCATCAGTAAAAACCACTTTTACTGACTTTGATGCATTTATCTTCATTTTTTCTTCACTTGTCCAACGTTGGATTATATTTAAATAAGACTGAGCATTGTATCCCTGTAACTCTTGGACGCTGCTAGCACGCGCGATTCGTTGGCATAGACTCCCAGTTTACTCCCTCTCCCAGACTGCGGAATGTCTTTGGGAATCCTATCTTCTTTTGTCTGTTCCACGTGACCCAACCATTATATTTCTTGGGCTTTAATGAACCGTACATTGTCTACCTTAGACAGTATTTGACCCAAAATTGCTGTCGTGTGCTTTCACTCAAATCCCACCATTGGAAACTGGAAATTTCTCTTCGGAAATTTTGTTAAGATATCTCAAATTTGAAATTTTCGCAATTTCCCTTTTTTCTGACACTTCTCTTAAGTTCAAAGGTAAAATCAATGCAAAAAAAAAGCCCCTGGCATCGATAAAATTTCAGGACTTATTTTAAAGACCTTCCTAACAAGTCAATAATGAAATTGGTTGCGACCTTCAATGCAGTTATGCGTTGTAAATATATCCCTTCACTTCGACATCTAACCTGCCCTCTAACCACTGCCCTCTGTCAAACCACAACCCTTGGGGCATATAGCACCTTAACATTTCTGCTTCAATCCCCTCCCGCCAAACTCTCATTTGGCGCCCTCTGCGCCTTCTCCCAGGAGGAACCCAATCAAGGACGTTCTTCGGCAACCTGTCTCCTGCCATTCTCTGAACATGACCATACCAAATGAGCTGTTTCGTCGCAAAGTCTTGCAGGATGGTCTGTTTGGCATCCATGATTTCCCATACAAGATAAAAATTATGCAAATGAAAATTTTAAGAAGTACACCTAAAGATAGATGGTATGAGAGGAATGCTGATATTCGCGCTGATCTTAATATTGACTCTGCGGATATTAGCATTAAGCTAATACATAAAATTATGCAGTATTATCCTTTAAGTCAAACTTACGCTTTTATTGTATTTTCCGAAGGAAATACACTATTGCGTTCTCCCCTGATGTCAGACCTAGACCAAAGACCATGTAATGAGCATCGATCATGGGTCGTAGATAACGAATATGCATGCCATTTGAACCTATGTATATATTTATTTATTTATTTATTTATTTATTTATATATCTGTTTATTTATGTATGTATTTCCGACTCATCGTGGTTTTTCCGATTTTTGTTGGGTTATATTTCCCTCATTTTCAAAGTTTTTTGGGTAAAACTTTTTGCGATGTAAAGTAGAGGAGCAGGACTACAAAAAAAAAAAAAAATGGAGATCGAAGTATTACATTTCGAATGGTGGGGGCGAGAAGTGGGAGGAGGTTCAATTTTGTGGGCGCTATAACTCGCGCAAATTAAAAGCTTTCCCCCCGAAATTTTTACAGAAGGAAGATCTTACTTAGTTCTAGGCTGGTATTGAATTTGAGCGAAATCGGTCGAACCGTTTAAAACTGGCGAGCTTTGAAAGTTTTAGGCGGGGGGTGTGCGGCAAAAGAGGGGGGAAGCCGCACAGTGGGTCACGCCCTGAAAATTGGTGGACAAGACGGCAATGTTGTCGCACAGTGGGTCACGAACTGATAATTGGTGGACACGATGGCTATATAGTCGCACAGTGGGTTACAGACTGATAATTTTTGGACAAGACGGCAATGTTGTTGCACAGTGGGTTATGGAGATTCATCCATCGTCATTCAAGTTTGCTACAGCGTTTGTTGACATTTTTTCATATCAGACATTACATGAGGATCACTTAAAAGACAGAACAACGGAGGCCGGAAACCCAAACTTAAAAGCGCGCGTCCTGGGGGGACACTCCGCGCCGGTTTTTTAAAGATGCAACTTGCATGTAAAAGTATTTATGTACAATTTGTAATTGATGCGCAAAATAAAAAATAAAAAAATGAAACTCCTCCCGAGTTTAAAACCTTTTAAAATTTGTCAGCAGAAGTATCTGAAAGTTTTACCTGCCCACCACTAGAAATTGGAAACTGCATATGGAAAATTATGGTGGGAAATTTTTTGTTGAAATTTTCGCTATTTTCCTTTGTTTGTCTTCTTAAGTTTGAAACCTATAGAAATTTTTTCGAGTAGAAAAACATAAAAATGTTTTCTTAACCCAGTGGTGCCAAGTAGAATCTTCTTTTTCACTTAAACATTACCTGGCTGCCCTCTGAATTTATAGGTATGATGCAAGTAGATTAGGCAAGCTGCAGCTTGCCGTTTGTGTTTTCGTCTCACTCATGGGCTCAAGTGGTATCCAGGTCTTTCACGAGTGAGAAACAACATTCCTTTTCAGTGCATACCACTGCCTAAATCTTTTTTCGCTGACCAGCAAAGCCTCAGTTTGCTCTCATGACCGGACCCTAAAATTTTGTTGTAGTTTTTGAGTGACAACAAAACTACACATATAACCTAAGTTAAATATATAAAATAAGATAAATGTAAGTATGACTAAAGAAAAGATTACTTGAACTAAATAATATCCTATCGTTGATTCCCTAGTTCTATATCCCTTTCCTGATACACATACCCCAACAAATTTCTAAGAATCATCAAATTTGATTCCAGGAATTCCGAGAAATGCTCACAGCTCAAGAGAAGACGACAACCAGGTCACACCATAATATCTCAACTGATGACTCGTTCCACAGTCCTCAGCCAGAGATAATCGAATCTCTGGCAGGAGTTGTGGACCTCCAGCTTCAAGAAGCTAAGGAAGAGTTGGTTAAAAAGGTATTACATTTCTTCCACTAATTTTCCATTATATTATGCCCCATAGTATATCGAGGGCCTAGGAACAATACTGCCATGCTGAGGAAGAACGTCGTATGAACCATCGGATTCCAACTGAGATATTTACGCGCGAAGTCTACGGCATGCCTCTCTACGAGATTTCCGAATTTTAAGTTTTCGTTTTCTTCTATCGACAGCTTGATCGCTTGGCTGTTCATTAGCGCTTAGATCATTTGCAATAAACTACTGACTTTCTGGAAAATCACAAAAGAATGAGAGTAAATCAAACTCTAGGCAAACTGCGCGTGCAGGCAGGGTCTTTTCACTGTACTGATTTCGCGGTGTGTCCATCCTTGAGCCAAGGACAAGTTTCCAAGGCTGCTGGCTGGTATAGGGGTTTTGCCTCTTCGTTTCTGTGACGTTTATTTTTGGAGTTATCATCTCACCTATAACCACAATCACTAGTCTTGCATGGATTTAAGGTAGAACTATTTTAAAATTTCAAATAAAAATTAACTTTAAAAGAAGTTATTTGTCCAATTGATTTGCCAATGCAAGAGAAAATTTTCATTTTCAAAAAGAGAGCTAGATTGATGAATGAGGATCTTGAAGAGCTGGACGATCCATTACTCTCTGTCCTAGTTACGGAATCTGACGGCGAGTGCGCTGCAGCGCCTCAGTCGACACCTGACGAATATGAGAGCAGTTTGGCTCCTGAAACAAATTTGTCCCTTTTTGTAAATATCAAGGTAATTTGAAAGTTTGAGTTTCTTATGCGACTCATTTCTCGTTCATCGTTCATTTATGCTATTGTTGGTTACATTCTTCTTTATACAGTGTACTTATCTTATTTTCCACCTTTTTTGATGTGCCTAAAGTGTGAGCATTCAAGGTGAAGATTTGAGAGAGAATGAATGTAATTTGCAACTTATTACTAAAGATGTTAATGGATAAAAATACAATAATAAACATTCTGAGGAGGGACTGATGCTTGAAATTTATAAATTTCCACGAAATTTGATGCGACTTGCTACACTACACACACTGCATTCTTGCTCATTGCAGCATTTGATAAATGGTTTTACCTTACATTAAGTTTTCAGAAAAGAAACATCAGACGCATTAAGCGGATGGAATTAATGGCCAACATTGCCGAGTAATAACAATACTTCACTCTACTCTTATGAAAATAAAATGCATTGGTACAATGATGATATAGATTTCTATAATTAAATATCCTGTTTGACATCACTTAATGGTAAATTAAATGTTTGCAACTAATTTGTTGTCCTAACAAGAATTAGGAAAAAAATTAGATCAAGTATTTATACATGAATTAGTTACAAATGTTCCATTGTGCATCAAATTTCGTGAAAATTTATAAATTTCAAGCATTTTCCCCTCCTCAGTATGTTAATTATTGCATTTTCATCCATTAACATCTTTAGGATTGGTTGCGAATTATGTACATTTATTTTCTTTCAAATCTTCACCTTGAAATGTTCACACTTTATGTGCGCGCAGGCACGTAATTTCAAGCGTGCAGGACGGAGAGCAGCACCGGGTTGTAAGGCCGGCGATGGAAGCTCATCCGAGCGCTTGAGTGGACTGGATCAGGCGGTGGGCGCCTGATGGGCAGGCAATCGGCGACAGTGAGCGCGGCGTCTTCAGTTTGTGCGCTTGAAGCGCGGTGAAGACCCCCAAGGGATACCCCCAGGGCTTGCCTAAGCGAATCGCTCGCTGGATATCGCGATGAGGCGATTGCGGGTTGCTCCGTGCAGCGCTGTAAGCGGCCAGGCACGAGAGCCACTGTGCAGTCAACAGCGTTGAGGGCTGGACTGAGCAGTCAACAGCGTTGGAAGCTGGACTGACAAGTCGACAGCGTTGGGAGCTGGACTGGGAAGTCAACAGCGTTAGAAGCTGGACTGAAAAGTCGACAGCGTTGGAAGCTGGACTGGAAAGTCGACAGCGTTAGGAGCTGGACTGGGTGCTTCTTCTTGGAGACCTGAAAGAGAAGTGGTGAAAATTCACTTACCAAGGTGCTCAAGCTTGGTTGAGGAGTGAATGGTGGATCACACTTTGCATGGGCCGCGCCGCTGGGATGCCGTCAAAATCAGACGACGGGAGAGAGAGGCGGAACGTCTAAAGCTGGGTACGTCAACGCGATCTAGCGGACAGCGGCGTCGCGACGCCGCGAGGTAGGGCGCGCGGGTTGCGGGGGAGCGCGGCCGCGAGAAGCTGAGCGCGGCGGCGAGGAGGGGGGAGCGCGGGTCGCGGGGAAGGAGCGACCGCGGCGCGGAGTCGGCCGACGGCGAGGCCGGTACTGGCCGAGCCATGTTCACGGCGTGAACTTTTTAGGCACATCAAAAAAATTCAAATCGTCCAGTTACTGGTGCCCTCCTGACTGCTATTATATTACAGCCAAACATAAGAAATTACAACATAAATGCACATCGGCTTTTTCATTGTCAACCGAATTCTTTAAAATGACCCTCTAACTTATATCAATGAATGAAATACTTTCAAACCTTTTTAAAATTTTGCTCAACCTTAAGATTATTCTACCAAAGTTTTTTCTCACTCTTTTAGGACACCCCGAACCTAGATGTCATTGTTCAGTATTTTTTCTGTAGTTCCAGGTTAAGTGTGAGCTGAACTTGAATTGTGTTTCCTTACTTTTAATGATTTTGTCATGTTTTGCTGTGCTTCCCATGCCTATAAAGTATTTAACTTTCTCTTTTTAGGATGATTTCATTAAAGACCTCGAATCTGCTTTAGAACATGAACACAAAGAAGTTCTGCGACTGAGCAGAGAAGCTGCACAACTTCAAGACAGTCTAAATGAAGCTAACAAGCAGGTGATGGTTTTGCAGGAAGACATTAACGAAAAAGAAACAGCTGTGTTAACTATGAGCTCTAACTATACCAACGAACGCAACCTAAATGAAGCACTCAAGGCAAAATTAGTTGAAATGGAATTTGAGGCTAATAAGAATGCTGAAAACATTTTTCAAACCAAGGATGTAATCCTCAAGTTGGAAAAAGAGCTTGCTTGTGTGAAAACGGCACTTACACAAGTAGAAAAGGATAAAAGTAAAGCTGTTCAGCAGTGGAAAGAAGAAACTAGAAAACTAGGAAATGATTTAGCCAAGGTGTTCAAAGAGAAAAAGGATCTTCAAAATTCTCTGGACGAAAAACAGGCTGAACTTGGTGCTTTAAGATTGGTGTGCGAAAGTGAAAATAGTCGCAATCAGTGCTTAGAAAGGAATCTCACACGAGTTGAATTTTCTCTGAATCAGAAGTCCATTGAAATTGCTGAAAGCAAAGATATTATTAGAAGGTTAGAAGAAACAAGGTCTGAAGCTCAGCATACTATTTCGTTGTTGGAAGAAGAAAGAAAACAAAAACAAATTCTATGGATGGAAGATCGTAAGAAACTTCAGAGCGATTGTGATGAATTACTAAAACAAAATGAAGCTCTACGCCAAGAGACTAAAGAAAGTGGAGTTCGTCTATTTGACGTAAATCTAAATCTTGAAAAAGAACTTTGTCATAGCAAAAACCTCAGTAACAAGATTGCTGAATATGACTCCCTCCTGTCTGAAAAGATGAAATTACTATCAGACAATAATGGTGCTCTTTTGAGACTAGAAGAAGAATTGAGCCATCTGAAAACGGAAAATGTGCAGTTGAAAGAGACTTTACAAGAGATGGAAACTCAGCGGATCGAAGAAATCCTTAAACTTGAAGACCTAAATAGGAAGCTGTCTGAAGACAATTGTACCTTGTCTCTGGACATTCAAGGGAAAGAAGTAGAGCTTTTGAATTTTAAATCAAAGTATGAAGAAGAGTCATGCAAAAATGAGCAACTTGAAAAAAGACAGATTAACCTGGAGCGGTCCCTCTCTGATTTGTCAAAGATGATCACTGTAAGTGATGAAACTTGCAGAAATGAACATGAAAAACTAATTGCATTGCAATCCGCTTTTTCAACTTTAGAGGATGAGAAGAAGAGAGAGGAAAACCAGCTGAAAGAAGAAATCACGAAACTTCAATCGGATGTAGCAAAATTAGCAGAAAAATGTAATACCCTTCAGGGACACCTTGACTCCAAGTCCAAAGAATTATGCAACTTCCGTCATGATTACGAAAAAGAACTTGGTCGAAATCAAGCTCTCCGTGAAGACTTCCTTAAAGCAGAATTTCTGTTTGACAATAACCTTTCCGAGAAAGAAGACATCATCTCTAAGCTAGACGAAGAGTTTAAAAAATTAAAGTCGGCTCAATCTGAGGCCAAAATGGATTTTCTTGCAAGAGAAGCTCAATTCATGGGCGAAATAGCATCCCTTAAACTCGATTTTAAGGAAGTTACGGAACTGATCAACACTTTACAATCAAGACTCCAGAACTTACAAGATAAGCTCTTGTCCATTGAATCAGTCCAAGAATATGAACGGGAACAAAATCAATGTCTCAGCAAAAAAGTAATAGAGTTAGAATTCTCTCTCTCAGAAAAAGGGAAAGCTATCCGTGATAATAAAGATATGCAAAGCAAACTTTGTCAAAAAATTACAGATTCAATTGCAAACTGTTCAAAGCTTGAAGAACAGAAGAGTGAATTGGAAAATCTAGTCCTGAGGCTTCAAACTAGTATAGGTGAAGCGGGTGAGCAAACCACCTTGCTACAAGAAGGAATCCGAAAAAAACAAAATGAAGTTTTAGCCATTCAATTAGATCTTGCAAATGAGCGTTGTGTAAACAAAGAACTTCATGAGAAATTGACTTGCTTTGAAATTTCCCTCTCTGAAATGTCGCAAATGATGACTGTTACAAAAAAAGCCCTTGCCGAAGCCACACAAGAATTGACCAGTCAAAAGTCAATGCTTTTAAGTTTAGAACAAGAAAAGTCGCAGCTTACTATTAGTTTAGAAGAGAGGAGTAAGTTGGAGGAAACTTTGAAGCAAGAGCTTGAAGCCAAAACTTCACAGCTTGTCACCACCATTTCTAAGTGTGATTATGAATGTAAGCAGAAGCAACATCTGAGTGCGAACTTACACGAACTTGAGTTCTCTCTGGGAGAAACCTTCAAAGATCTCAATGACAGCAAAAAAATGATTCAGAAGTTAAATAATGAGTTGAACAATTTAAGAAGCACCTATTCTAGAGCAGAAGAAAATGAAAAAATGAAATTACTTCAATGGAATGAAGAGACCGCTCAAATACGCTGTGAATTGGACAATACCTTACAGCTTGTTGATACCTTAAAACGAGACGTTGAAGAAAAACGTGCGGAGATTTTGACAATGAAGTTGAATCAAGAAAATGAGCAAAACAGAAGTCAGCAGCTCAATAAAAAAATAGTTGAACTAGAAAAGTGTCTAAGTGAAAAGACAAAAGAACTCAAAATGAGTTCAGAAACAGCAAAGAATCTTGAAGAAGATATGAAGTCCTTGAAGTCAAAATTCGTGGAGTTTGCGGAAAACAACAACCAGGTTGTTACCAACATGAAAGGAGAGTTCCACCAAATGGAGAACTCCTTTAAAGATCTCACCAAAGAAAACAATGACTTGAAAACTGAACTGAGCAAAAGGTCAACAGATATTCAGGCTATAAATAGAATAAATGATTTAAGGACAGCCGAAAATTCAAAGACTTTGGATGAGCTCGAAGGTGTTATGGAAAGAATCAGGGAATTGGAAAATGAGAATACTGAATTGAAGGAAGCCTACAGCAAATTATTAGATGATCTTGAAAGGTAAGAAAATCAACTTCTCATTAATCTCAGTTGTTTTTTTCTTATTGTTCATTGTTTTTTTTTATGTATAAATTACGGATATACAACTATTACCTGTATTTGTCTATTCTCCAAATTTAGATTTATAGGGTAATTATTCATTACTCAGCGGGTAATTATTCGTAGTTGCCTCAATTCCACCCATTTTTGAGCTGAGATTTCTCTCATAAGGTAACAGAGGTGTAAGACCTGGTAGAGGTCATTTAACCATTGACTGTGCTCTTTGATTCCCCTTCATGTTTGGTCCACCCTGTGTTACTTCTACCGCAGGAAACGCCGTTGCAGACCAAGCATAAAAGGCGCACGTAACACAGATAATGAGTCCTGCACCGAAAAATATCAAAGTGTCATATAGATAATGTCAAATACTTGAGTGCTTTACAGAAAATGTTGTGTAGTTCAAGTAATTTTGATACTTAAACGATTATGTGCAGCACAGAGAAAATTTTGAGAATAACATCAGATACTTTGTTGTTCAGGCTACTTCGATAGATCAAAGTTCTGTGCGGTGCACAACATTTTCACTTCTTCCTCTTCTTTATTATGAAACATTGGAGGGAAATAATTGCTTTGTCAGCTTTAGTCAGATGTTGCGAGAGTAAGACGTGTTCGCCTGTGGCCCCGCGGTAGTGTTGTCGTCCAACAGTTCTCAAAACGAGTGGATCCAGATCGTCAGCTTGTAAAAATATGAAAACCACTAATTTTCCCGCTTCAAATAACGGTAGACAGTCCTTAACTGCTAGTCCCGGTTTCCAGAGCTTCCATATAGATAATTTGGTGAAGGAAATCGAGTCGGTTGTGTTGAAACGCCTTCACAGTAAAACCATAATCGATAAACTCGCGAGTGAAGTTTCTAAAAGAGTTTCCGAACCATTGCTCGAAAACATAAAAATTACGTAAATCATTGAAATAGCGAAAGTAAAATACGAATTTAATCACAAACTCGACGAGTTACAACAGTATTATCGTAGAAATGTGCTGCGTAACTTCAGAATCCCTGAAACTAAAAACGAAAACACAGATACCATCAGTACAATCAGTACAATCAGTATCAGTGTTTGGACATTAAGTGGGGACGAAAGAGAGCTCTCTTTTGCTAAAGATGCTAAAAATATATGAATCACTAAATACTAAAAGGGCACAAGTCCAATTTTTGGCGAAATTGAGTTAGGAGCGGATTCTTATTCCTCATCGATAAACGCATCTTGTGTCAAAAAAAGGTGCTTGTCCGCGGCTTTTAAATACGTTAAAAACAGCTGTGAAAAATAACTAAATTCGAAAAGGGCACATGTCCAGGACATGTGCCCTTTTTGAATCTTTGTGCGCGGACTAGCTGGTGTGGAAACATAACCTGTAACTTTCAGAATCTGATTCTACCATGTGTTTTCCAATACAAGAAACATATACTGTTTTCGTCAGCTCTCTATTGACACTTTTGAAATTCATAATTTAAGAGACAACACCATTATGTTGTATGTTCATCATGAAACAACTGCCTGCAAGACCCCAGATGATGTGATATCTTTTGTTATCCACTATATTGAACATTTTACTGGTGCTGATATTGAAGAAATTGATGAATTGCATATATTTTGTGATAATTGCGGGGGTCAAAACAAAAACCACGCTCTCATACGTGCTTTAATGTCCTTGGTTGAAACAAAGAAAATTAAGACGCTAAAATTATTCTTTTCTCAACGTGGGCATTCGTAGGTAACTCCCTTGCAACTGGGCATTTGGGCTTATAAAACGTAAGCTCAGGAGAATAGAAAGACTGTATAGTATTGATCAATACGTTGATTTAATTCTCAAGGCTTCAAAAATTGTCGGGAAACTTTGGGTTTTTTTAGTTGATCAGGCCATAATGTTTGACTTCTAAGGATGGTTCAAAGAATACTATTTTAAGCAGGTCAAGTCCCGAGAAAGCAGAGTGGTAGGCATTTAGGTAGACCAGTGGTGGATACATTTATAATTTTCACCTATCATCAATTTGAATGCACGACTGAGAACTTCATGGTCTCAAAGGTTTCTGAGTGTATTTCGGGACTTGTGCGACTTTGACTTTCAAACTGAGAAAATCAAATGAAATGCCACTTTGTTTACCCACAAAACACTTGTACACGGGGTTGTTCCCATTGTTGATAAGAAGATGGCAGGTCTGGATCTTTACATCCCCTCTGAATTTAAAAAGTTCTGGCCAGACATTTTTTTGATAACCACGGAAACTAGTGAGACTCAAAAAGAGCGAATCCATGGTAGGCAAGAAGAGCAGCATTTAAGATATTTTGTATCTCTTGTCTCTCTTGTCAGCTAGAAACTTGAAAATAAGCATTTTGTAAAAAAAAATTGGTTTAAATTAGTAATTAACTGCTTAAACCTGTCATCTTAGCCCATTAAATACAAAAAAGGCACAAGTCCAAACTTTTTAAATGGCTACCAATAGGCTAGTTACTAATATTTTCAGATAAACAAACCATCATTATACGCAGGCTGCCGTATAGAATCCAATTTTAAACATAACAACTTTCCAAAATATATCTACCACGAAATAAACAGTTTTTTGTGTCTCCTGAACAATTTAGTTTTCTGGACATGTGCCCTTTTTGTATTTAGTGATTCACATGTAATGTTTTCAATCACCATTTCACATCAATAAGCTCAAAAACAGCTGCAGCTTGCACTGGGCAATATATTTCCACAAAAAAATTCAGGCTAAATAACAAGAGAAAGTGCCCAAGCAATTTCTTACTGTTGAGTCCAACTACAGCTCCAGAAGTACAATTTTTCATCGATTTCCTAAAGGGGGAGGGGGAGGCAGGATGGGACGGGTATTCATCTGAGCTATTAAAGCACATAGCCTGCCTTATCTCAAAGCTGCTGACGCATATTTTTAACGAAAGCCTGGAAAAGGATATTTTCCCTGTCAAATTTGAAATAGGCAATGTCATTCCCCTCTACAAAAAAGGTGATCCAAACATGGTTTCAAACTTTAGACCCATTTCTTTAATCTCAAATCTGGCCAAGGTATCAGAGAAGATAGTCAAAAAGAGATTCAGCAACTTTTTAGATACATTTAAACTTTTATAAAATAACCAATATGGATATAGAGGGGATACGTACCCAAAACGCAGTAGTACCTAAATCTACTAAGTGCTATCGTAGAAGAACTTGATAAAAGTAAAAAAACCCATCTGAATACCGTTAGATATTGAAAAAGCCTTTGACTATGTCACAAACTCAAAGCTGCTGGTCAGATTGTAATCAATTGGTCTACGAGAGAAGTCACTGAAATGATTTAAAAATTACCTCAGTGACAGAAAACAAACCGTCAAAATTAAAGATTCTGAAAGTGATATAATGAGTTATGCGAGTGGTCTACCTCAGGGCACAGTCCTTTCACCCCTTCTCTTTTTAATGTATGTCAATTAATTATGTGAACTACGAATTCAAGGAAAAATTATGATTTTTGCGGATGATACAACACTCTTAGTCTCCGCTGATAACTGGGAAGAAGCTCTTAGATTAGCCTGGGAAGAAATTTCGAAAATACACTATTGGTTAAAAGAGAACTATTTAAAGATAAATATCTCGAAAACATGTTACCTACCCTTCTCTGCTGATGCAGCTGGACAAATTGATACCTCAATGATAGTTAAGAGCCACAACTACACTAACAATTTAGAAAGTTGTATTAAAAATGAATGGAAAACTTGTGGAAAACTAGAGAAAGTTTCACATGCCAAATACCTAGTAGTTTTTGTTAACCAGTACCTGCGATGGGATGTACACACACTGAACATGTTAACAAAAGACTTAGGATGCTTGCCTACTTTTATAAGAAAATAGCGTGCTTTGCTAATTTAAATCTACTAAAAACAGTGTACTATGCATTGGCCCAGTCAGTAATGCTGTACTGGTTTGCAGCCTGGGGTGGAGCATAGAAAACTTATTTTGACCCACTATATGTAAGTAAAAAATATCTGATGAAAATAATTTCTAAGAAACCTCCCATCTATCTTCCAGATTTACTGTTTGACGAATTAAAAATATTAACTCTTGAAAGCTTGTGGAAGCTTGAAATGATAAAACATCTAATAAAAACTGCAACTCTTCCTTTATAATTACGAAACGGACAGAAAATATGTTACCAGAGAGATGAACAACCTATCTTTCAAAACACATACTTGTATACTAACTTTACCACACAAGAAATTCAATAAACTACCAGTCTTTATAAAAAAAGAAATGAAAGAAAAATAACCATATAACAAAATTGTGAAACTGATTTTTTGAACACTTTTCAGCCAATAAGATCCCTCCATTTTCTATTTGTCTTCTCTATCTATCGCTTTGTCTATAAATTTCGATAATCAGCCTCCTGGCCGGTGCATAGTAATGTGGTGACCAAATCATCCTACATTGTGATTTTTTTTCTGCAGACAACGGACTGAACTGACAGATACAAATGAAGTTCTATCAAAGCAAGTGGAGGAGTATAGGGATGCGAGCCAAAAGTACGAATTAAAATGGAAAGAGCGTATGAAACAGGTCAAGGAAGACTATGAAGGTCAACTCATCAAAATTAAACAGTACATGGTCAGTAATAATAGATATATTTTACAATAATTAATTTGATCAAATAATCGAACCTAGTGTTTTCCAAAATAAACTTTTCAGCCAACTTTTTTCCAACCCATTGGACGATCATATTTTAGGAATTTCCGTAATTGATATATATTGAAAAGGAGTGTAAAGTATAACCATGATTGCTCTATTGGTATTGCGCGTTATTTGAAAATGATGCTTCAGGTCTGCATCTGCAGCATTAAGCATGTCAAATCCCAGTCAGCAACATAATGAATTATATCGAAATTATTGTAGGAATACTATTTATGGATAAGTAATTAAATTGTTTCAAGGACACTGGTAGGCACAGAAAACTGCAAGTTGATCTGCTTGAATAAGTAATAAACTGAACATGGCATCGGCATTAAAATTTACATTAAATGGAAGAACTCATTGACAAGGTCATTAGCTAAAATGTCAAGCACACAAGTAAAGCCCAGGTTATTTAGAGATGTAACAAAATCATCAATGGACTTATTGACCTTTTATCGGCTTGCTAAGAACTTATGATGTTCCATGATACATCAACATTAAAAGAAGTAAATATATTCAGGGTTTCCTGACCTAGGAGAGAAAGGAGGAGAGCTACTTTCCTTATCTCCGATTTCTTGTTCATTATTGAAAATAACAGACTATGAAGTTGAAGTGAAAATGGAACGACTCCATTGGTTAAAACGGGTGATTCTTGTAGACTTAAGAGGAAAATGATGAACGAACTATAAGGTCTCTTTAGGGTTGCGGTCGATTAGTCAGCGTTCATCTCGTTTGTCTATTGCAACCACCCGCTTCCACCAATACGATCGCTCCATTTAGACTTCCTTTGCAATTCGGTATTACGATTTTGGGCTCATCAGTGAAAGCTTTTATGTGCGTAGGGAAATTAATGGCGCACTTGTTGCCTCTGAATTAAGTTGGAGATTGTTGTACCAAACGGCAAAATGTAGTCCATTTTAACTTAGTCTTTTCCTTCTGTCACTTTGTCTATCAATTTCAACCATCAGGCAGCTGACAAGTAGATTGATGACAAAGTGATGAGATTTTGACACATGGTGATGCTCAGCAGATGATTTGTGACAGACTTCAAGGAGTAATCTTAATTCAGCAGTGAAAAGTCCCCGTAAAGATTTGACTTTGTAGCTAATAATTCTTTTCTTTGTTTCTTGTTTTGAAACGTTCAGAGTAAGCACTATCATGACAAAATGGATGAGCAAGAAAAGGAAACAAATGAGAAATTGACAATGTACAAAGAAAAAGTAAGTAAAAACACTAACTGCGATTACATCACTTTTGGCAAATACAACTGTTAGGTGAAACTGAGGCAGCATCCTACAATTCAACTTGTCATTTTGAGTAATATAATTACGATCTTGTAGCATGATGTACAAGTACTGTGCAATGCAGGGGATGGAGTTAGATAAATTGTTAAAGTTAGAATCGTGAAAATACTCCACAAAATCACTTTCTCTCTTTACTCACTATGGCTGTGAATTGAACCCCACTTCAGAGCAGTTTTTTGAGAACCATAAATAATTATGAATCAAAAAGTGCCCCTAGAAGTATCAGAAACTTTAAGATGCATACAACAACAAATTGAGCAAGAGAATTCCTCTTTTCAACAGTTTATGACATGATTCGTAGTAAGTTGAAAATTTAGCCAATGAGTGTACACCAGTTTAAAAATTTGACACTGGTGCAGTACATTATTAGTTTTTGACCAACTTAGTCCTCAAACTGAAAAATGTTAGCATCAATGGCTGGGTGTCTACTGTGAGGTGAAAAAGCACTGATATAGGAGGTCAGAATGGAAAATTTACGGATTTTCTGTGAAAAGGTACAAATACCAGGATTTTCATGATGAAATTGAAAAATAGCCTTGGGGGTGTCGAGTATCTCAACATGGTCCTTTTTATAATCGTCCCACTGTTCCATTAAATCTTTTAAACATATTTTTGTCAGCTTTTACATGGAAAAGAACTTTGTGTAGTACCTGCAATGGGAGACTAGGGAAACTTCTGACCTGGTAGATTTGCGTTATGCTATTTCTTTCATCTGCAGAAGACTTCTGAAAATTGCTTCATTCATTTGATGAAATGTCGAAATATACCGTTTTGCCATGCAAAGAAGTGATGGTAAATTTTGTCTTAAAAATTTGTTTTAGATTTCCAAAGATCAAGAGTGTATCAAGGACTTGAGTTCACAGATTTGGCACTTGAGTGAAAAATATTTACAAGCTCAACAAGAAATGAAAAATATGCATTCCACCAACAGGAGGGCAACCATCAGCCGCTTAGTAAGTGCATTTGTTTTTTGTTCCTTTTTTGACACAGGGACTACGGACATATATATTGATCATAATGGTCGATCTTGCATGTATGTGTTCATGAGTCTCTGATGTTGCCGTCAGATCAAACCTCAATTTACCAAACAATCTTTGATCTATTTATCATTTAGATTGATCAGAGGCAGGAAAATTTTCACTCTTTTTTTCCATAACTAAGAGAAAGGGCTTGGACGACAAGGCGCATGGATTCAAGATTACGTAGAACCTGATGGTAGAAAGGAAGTTTAAATTCACTTTTTGATGCTCTAAAGTTCGATTTTAGTTGTGAATTTTTCACAGAATATAATTTCAAACTATTTTTAGTTGAGTTCATGAATACCTCAAATTTTTCAAAAACTGCACTTGTGTGTCTTGTCCTCCAAGCTCCTCGATTGAATTATTAATTTTTCGTCTTTCGTTTTGAAATTTGATTTATTTAGCTTTCGTCCTTTGACCAAAATATTGGACTTGAGATATTTTATGAAATGGTCCGGACCGTCACTTTATTTTCTAAGTAGCTGAAGTAAAATTGTATAAGTCAGCCTCTGCCTCTGTAAAATGGTGTGTAAGGAGCAGAAAAGGAATACTTCTCTTAGAGTATTTTTTTTATTCAGTAAAATTATGCATGAGGCCATAGCTGTAACAATAGCGAATGTCAAGTTTTTAAGTTCTAAAAAAATCGCGTTTTAAGGTTTCAATGTGGTGCATTTTGTTATCCTCAAGTCAAAGAGGATTTTGCTGAGGAATTTTTTTTAGAACAGATGCACCTGTAAAAAATGATTTATAGGGATTTAAATTTGCAGGTACGAGGATGAGCGTTTATGAACTTTTTCAATTTATGTAAAATGTGGCTTTGCGAGCCACAATGAAGATTTATTATGCTGGCACCATTGTATTAAAAGTAATTTCCAACAGGTTTTTAGGCCCAAATTAGTATGAGGTGAATGTGGGAAGGAGAAGACTTTTCAGGGGAAGCAGTATTACTCCTTCTCTGAATCTTAGTTCAAAACTATTTGATTAGAATATGAAATTCAATAAAGCAATTTTCTCTGAAAAGAGAGATAATCAGGAACTTTTTAGGTGGGAAAAGGAGTGCAAGCAAGCCTTTTTCATTTGTTTGTTTGTCTCCATCCAATAGCCCAGTACCCTCAGAATATGTCAGACGAAAAAGTACATTTTCATATGCATCATGGAGTATATGGGTATTTACAAAACCGTTGATAAAAAATTATGAAGTATTGAAAAACCAATCTATATGTTACGGCCAATTGTGCCGGCGCGGCACTCGTATACACCATCTCAATGATGCGCGTGGCGTGCCGATGCGCCCGCTCAAAGCAGTTCCAACTTTGGCCACTGGTTACAGTTCGATCGCTCGGTTCCCTATTGCAAAGTTGTGCAAACCAGCCTGGTGGGGAGTCGGCGATCGACTATAAATAGTGGCCGGGACATAGACCGGACACACAGTATTGATCCGAATTTCAGAAAGACAGCTCGTCCAGATCTCAGCGTTGGCCCCTTTCCTTCCACGGCATAGACCCGTATTCCTCCACGGCAAAAGACCCGTATTCCCCTCCACGGCAAAAGACCCCTATTCCCCTCCACGGCAAAAGATCCGTATTCCCCTTCCACGGCCCTGGACCCGCACGTAGCATTTTACACGCGCTTGCTACTCGCAGGTGTATCTGGTCCTTAACGGTAGAGGGCGTGAGCCGCGCTGCTGGTGTGGCTCCCGCCGGAGTTTGGCATTCTGATCAGAAAGTATAGAAGGTTAGAGGCCCGACTGGATAGGGAAGAATTGAAACAGAAGTTGAAGCCGTGAGCAAGCAGTTGCGTACGTTGGCGCGAGAGTACGCGGCGAGCGGAATCCCATACCACTGCGCTGATTGGCTAAGCGAGAGTTGCGGACGGACGGTGTATAAAAAATTGCCTACGCGGAGGTGGTCCGGCAGCAACATACCCGCCGCTAGTCACTGGAAAACAATAGAAAATAGTAGTTGCGTACGTTGCCAGCGAGCGCGCTGCGAGCGCTTCTGTTTCAATTACCTAGCATTGAGTCGGGCCTCTAACCTTCTATACTCTCTGATTCTGATTTGCACGGAGAGCAGATTTCAGATTTGTATTTCAGAGTGTTCGAGCTTCAAATCGGGACTGGCTGTCTATGCACACCTGACGATCGCTAACAAGCGTGACACCGCTAGTGGCGCTGACAACAGGCCCGATTTCTTTACCCACACCCAACTCTCCTCAAATGAGGTTCTCGCTAGTATGGAAAAATTCATACAAAAAATATTATTGACGGATACCTCGTAAAAAACTGCTATATGCGTGCGTGCGTGTGTGTGTGTGTGTGTGTGTGTGTGTGAGGGTGTGAGGGTGTGTGTGTGTGTGTGTGTGTGTGTGTGTGTGAAACCAAATGCAACTTATTGAATACAATCTACAATATGTGTCAGTTGCCCCAGTGTACATCTTTATCCAAAAACCCAACAACCACTCCCCTCACACAATGCCGGTAACCGGCCAATGACGACTTAGGCCATAACGGCCGGGCGATGACGTTATTGACCGGTCAATCGTATCATTGGCCGAAACACGCGGCCATTGATGACAATGGCTGGCCAGTCTCGTTAAAATCGACATTGGCCAACCGCGTTTGGGCCATGTGTTCGGAAACGGGAAAAATAAGGTTTGTAATGTCTTACCTTACTTGTTGGTGCAAGACTCGCTGTTGTGGCACCTAGAGTTACGAAGGACCCTCGGAGCGCGGCACGAACACCTCTTTGTTGCACATTTCTGCCGGCAGTTACATCTCTGGAATCCTTGACCTCCTGTAACTGAGCTGCTGGTCACAATAAGATCGAGACTTTTCTCCTCATGGAGAAAGTCGGAAATCGAGACGAGGTCTTTATCACATGGAGTGAATTGTCGTGGGATTACAGATCTTGTATAATTCCTTGAGCATTAGGGGTACCAAGCATAAAAAATTGTCTTGGATTTCGATGACTACTGCTAAGACATGACGAAAATCAGTTTTTCACGATCGACATCAGGCTTTGGGATGGATACTGTCTTCCCAACAGGAACAGGAGTAAATTTAGCATTTGGAATTTCTTTCATTCGGTCTGCTTGAATTTCTAGGTCCTTTTTCGCAGCAGATCGTGTGCCTGTAATGACTTTGACATTTTCATGTAATTGCTGAATAAACGAGGATCTTCTTCTGTGATTTGTTGGAGTACGGTCTCCATTGCTGGGATTGCTCCAGTTACTGCCTCTGTTGATTCGCTTGTAGCTTCGGTTGCTTCCTTCTCAAGCTCCACACCTCCTGGCTATGGCGCGGCTTTCCGTTTACAAGCTTCTTAGAGGGCCACTTTTCTTTAAAATTTCGGAGAACTTGGTTGATGAATTCTCGTCCATTGTCACTGTGCAAGATCCCTGGAGCCTCCATTAAAGTAAAAATGTCTGTAAAATTGTATACTACCTCCTCTGCTGTCTTGCTTTTCAATGGCACAACATATATTGACAAGTGGTCTTAATTGTTCATACTACATTTATAATATTTTCTTTTTCTGACTTTACATATTGATAAGATCAACTTTTGCCCTAGAATTGAAGTCGTTACTTATGATGGGCTCAGAGATCAGCTGCCATATTACGGTCAAACATTCTTCTTGCACCCATTCCTCCCCAGTGAAACAACTTATTTGACATTGGTCAAATCAGGATGGCCGCTAACGTCATTGGCCGGTCAATGTTGGCTCAACACGAAATAATAGTATGATATCTTTGGCCGGTCAATGCCATCATTGGCCAAATTAGCCGGCCAAAGTCGGCATTGGTCAAATTACCGGCATTGGCCGCAACATATATAAATGAAATCGTTGGGGGTTTCTTTGTAACGCTTACCGTCAAGTCACTCAACTTGGAACAGGATTCAACGAGGATTCTGCTGCTTCGTTTGCTGCCTTAACCTATAGCCAGTGAGATCTGCACACAAAGGTAAACAAACAGAGAGAAGCAGTGCTGCCACGAGCGGCAGACGAAAAATTCCCCCAACTGTTCCAAGTTAGGTGTCTGTTCCAAGTTAGGTGACTTGACGGTATTTCTAGAGTTCTACTGGACAGATTCCAATGACGCTTGATTCTGGTAAAAACTCTAGACTTCCAGATGCTTGCAAAATTGCCAAACTTCCAAATTTTTCAGCCTCTTTTGCCTGAGACACTCTGAAAGCCAAACCACCCCCCTTCGACCATTAGTTTCCGAGGATTGCCGTGAGTTCCCGTTGTAACAGACACTACACTGGCTCGCACCCAAGGCCCAAGGTCAAACTCGGACTCGGTCTGAGAAAGAAGACCGTAGCCTGCGTGCCATAAACCTGTTGAAGCAGCGCAATGACATGGGTTCTTCCGCCCTTTTGTCTATCAGCAACCCTCTATACCGAGACTGCCCCATTGTCTCTCGCCTACCTAAATCTGACCCTTAAAATTTTAAGACAGCAAGCATGCTATTTTTTTTAATCATTCCATGAATGTAATTACAGTTTACATTTTTTTCTTGGTGAAATTTTGAGCAGAATGGCAATCAAGTGAGTGAAAATACATGATTTTACGAAACACTAATATCCATATCACTACTGCTGCATGTAAAACTTGCTGGACGCTGTTTCCGTTAAGTAATATTACAAAGAAACTTAATTCATTGTAATATAATTATTTTAGGTAAATTAGGTAAATTTTAAAGGTAGTGTTTGTAATTTAGGTTCGTCCCTCCTCTTATCCCTACAACTGCCACCTTTCTTAAAAGGCAGAGGAAAACCGTGGGAAAAGGTAGGGAACAAGAGTTTTGGGGACTGAACTGCTTACCCTGAGTTGCTCTGAAAATCAGTTTTCTCGCGTATGCTGCCAACTCAGCTGCATTCTGTATCTCAAGAGCAACACTGATTAGACTTCGAAATTTCGCCGCTTCTGAGAGGTTGCCCATCCCTCATCTGCTTTTGTCGGATACGTTCTTTTACGGTCACGTCAGTTGATCAATGGATTTTTAGCAACATCCTCTTAATTATTTCCTCCTTTTTTATTTAGAGAAGAATTCTCATTGGATTACATTATTTTATAATCTTCTTGCACTTATGGTACGGAATACAGCTCGTTTGGACGCTTGCAAGCCGTAAGTCACTTGCGAAGCAAGTGACAGGGGATCCAAGGGGCGGAGTCTCTGGTTAGACGCAAGGCAAGCGAAGCGAGCCACAGCGGCTAGTGTTATCTAAAAATCGGTATCTTAAGGTTTACAAGAGTCAATAATGCAGTAAATGTAAAGCAATCCTCGAAGGGTTCAGTCAGTCCAAAACAGCCATCTCAATTTCATGGAAAATTTCAGCATTCGCAAGGGTTAACACAGGACCATCAATGAAGGAAGATTTTGAAGGACTGATTGTGAGTAACATGTCACTAAAGCTCGCGACACTGGATAAGTTTGCAGTGTAAAAACAAAGTCAAGTTCAGATGATTGAGCATGAAAGGAAATAAGTCCTTCTGAAGGGAAGGGTTGCAATGGAGTGCAAATAATTCCTTGTATCATCAATCAAAAGCATAGTGCAAGGATTAACTTCATAGACTTTTCTCACTTTAAAGCTAAGCAGTATGCTATTCATTTTTATGATATTTTAACTATATTTTACTACTAGAATTGCCTTTTTATATGTGATTTCAGAATCTTGTCAAGTCTCCGGATGGACAACTTTTACGATCGGTGTCTGTTGATCATTTAAGGTACGTCACATATAGTATATTATTTTTATTTATTATGCTATCAACTCTCTGAAAACCATTTTTTTTTATTCAGATTTTTTTAAATACCAAGCGATGAAGGGGTTTCATGAAATTAAACTTCTCTTTCTCTTTGAAGTCAAATTGAAAGTGTTACTTAAATTCAATGGAACTATCAAAAAAAAGACATGTTAGTTCTCAGAAAAAGCTTCCTCATTCAGTGTTAAAAACCTTGAATCTCGTGAATTTTTCATACCAACATTTCATCCTCTGGAACTTTATCTACTTGGTATGTGTCATAAATGAGAGTTGGAATACCGTTCGGCACCAGTTGCTCTTTGAGTAGGAACAACAAACTACTTGGGATGGAATTAAATGACGAAGTTTTGAGATGGAAAATTTAGAGTTGTATTGAGACCGAAAGAGAGAAAAAAGTTACAAAATTACAAGATTGAAATAGTCACTTGAAAATGTGCCAAAAGGGCGAAAATGGGCACTACGTACTAGTACGGGTCGGGGATGGAATAAGACCTCGATTTTAGGGCAGCGCAAGCTTTTATAGACTTGCTGACGTCACAGGTGGTGAGACAACAAGTCTACACGCTATTGGCTGGCTATAATCAGTGGAGCTATCAGTTGCAAGTTCAGTAATTAAAGTAATGGGTAATTGAAGGTGATGGCTGGGAGATAGGACTGAAAAAGACAAAAATGAACGAAATCCAGCCATCCCTAATGAGTGAACTGAATATGTAATGAAAAATCGAAAATGTGATGGAAAAATATGAGAAGGTGTTGACAGTATGTTTCATTTAAACACACGGTTTCAGTGTTAAAGCAAGTTTTCAATTAAAATTTCATCCTAAAAGTGACCATCAGCACTACTAAAAATTGATGAAATTCACCGAAATTGAGGCATAAGGTGTAGAAAAGGGATTTCTCAGTTGCGGTGTTTCAGAATCCTCAGTGCTAATTTTTATTTTAGAGAAGAAACTATGGGGTGCATTTTCTGAAATTTTACGTTTTCAGCACTGTAAAGTCATAAAGAATATTCAATAAAAATGGAAACAAATTAATGTTTGCATGAATTATAATGGATGAATTGTTAGCGGGTATTTTGAGACAGTGCAATCAAGAAATGTCCGTTCTGCACCCGGCACTTCAAGTTTGTCAGGAAAGATTTTTCAAAAAGGGCACCTATTGCCGGCAAGGAACTATAGTATTCCAAATAGTCCGAGAGCCAGACGACTTTGAGTGACAAACTCGGGATACATGTTTTGACCCCCTACATCGATAGCCTTGCATGCACTGAAACGGAAAATGTTTGTCTGCCGCCCTCTAGCCTGTGCCATCACCCTCATCTAGGCCCTCAAAGTGGTCCAAAAAACACCATCTGGTGACAAACTCCTGACGCTCGGCAGACAAGTCTATTATTAAAGATCATACCCAGGGTGACTAGAAAAACTTTGTCTGCCGCCTTCTAGCCTGTGCCATCACCCTCATCTAGGCCCTCAAAGTGGTCC